GCCGCCCCGGGGGCCAGCCGAGCTAGCTCGTTTGGGCTCGGCTCGTGGCGAGCTGGCTCACTCAGCCCATTTTTATTTGGGTTCAGATATTCTTGGCTCGGCTCGGTAAAAAATGAGCCAACCTCGAGCCGGCTCGCGAGCTCGACTCGTTTTGACATCCCTACCCCCACATAATCTTCAAACGAACAGCTCCATCGAATAATTAGATTTATTTTTCCATTTTCAATAAATATATAATTTCAACATTCCTTTATGGTAAAATACGATTTCGACATTTATATACTATATATTATATAATAACAAGTATCAATTATGGGACATGCCCGTAACTAGTCTACTAAATAATCATTTTTTTAGTCAGAAATAAAAAAAAACAGAGAAAAATTATTCACTCAATAGATAATACCACTTTTAGTATTTACTACAGTGTTACCACCAAAGCTAATATGAGTACCATTTCCATATACAACAATTCTAACATTTAGGAAGATTCAGATCTTTCTCAAACCCTAAAGAAAATGTTGAGTTTTACTTTGAAGAAAGTTCAAAAAGCAATAGCATAATCTAGAGACAGACTTCCGATTCATTTATTCATAAACTGAATTGATCGAAACCGAATAACATCAAATCGTAATCCAATTGAATTCGATATAAAAAAATCAAATAATAATAGTATTTTTATAAATGAAACATCGAATCTAAATAGAATAAAAAACTAACTGAAAAATCGCAAATTATCATTAAAAACCAAACTTAAACTAAAACCAAATCAAACCGACCTAAAATAAAATCTAAATAGATATAAATGCTGTAAAACAGAAAAAAAAAAAACTGAATCCGAACCGAAATGCCCCCTCTCTAGAAACCCTTTTCCTGTTTTCCATGAGTCTTGATTACTTCGTTCTTCTTCTAACCCTAATCTTACTCCTTTGTTTCTGTAGGTCTAAAACTAAGTTTTAATTTGGGTTACCACCCATAGATTATCAATAAAGCAGTCAATTTTGTCTCCAAATTATGTAACTCAATGCATAATCTAATGGCTAAGGGGAGACCTATAATGGAGATTACAGTGACCTACCTAGTTATGGGATGGGTTGGTGGTCAGTAGAATGCCATGGTTTGATGCATAAATTCCGACCCCAGTTCGTGGCTCAATGGCAATTCTTCCCTTGTTTAGGCATTGGTAAACCAGATGGGTCCCCAAGCCGATTTCATTTACCTAAGCAATATATATACCTAAGCAATATATATATATGTTTGTGAAGAGAGAGCAGCATGAAGATACAGTGGTTAGCAGAAACAGTCTAATGAATGCAATTAGATTGTTGGGTTTTGATGGGTGGGGATTTAAAGTATATGAAGATAATGATAAAAACACCGAACAGCCAGATCTAACCAAGAGATTCTGGGCATGAATATGAACAAACTAAATTAAAATAGTTGTAAAGAACCAAGAGATATGAAGCAACTTGTTAGTTGTTTGCTCATTGTGTCAAAAGACTCAAAGATTACATAAGATCATGGAATATTTAGCATAGATATGGGAAGAGAAAACAATTACCAAGTCAATAATGTAAAAAAAAAAAACTATAAACCTTTTTGTTTTTAATGAAAAAAAATCCAGAGTTTCAACTTCAATAGAAATTTTTTTTATAAATAAAATTAAGTGACCACGAGCCCTACGCGTCACCAAAAAGCTCATAAAATGAGGCTGGAAACTTGCGTTTATGTTCAGTTATGGTTTTAATGTAATGAGAACACAATAAACAAGAAAAAGAGGAAGCATCGCGTAACCTTCATCTCATGCTCCTAAGCCTGAGTTTAAATCTTTCCCTTTAAAAAAATGCCCTTTGGGACTGATAGATGAATGGTTTCTTCTAATTCTATAAACAGGTTTGATTTTTCTAATAATAAAATCTATATTCCAATCAGCAACTACTTTCGAAGACATTATTAATTATTATTATTATTATTATTATCATATAAACAAGGATGTGTAAGACTTGCCTGCCTATTTAAGGACCTCATCATATGGTTGATGAGATACGCCAGCACTTGCTTCCTCTTCTCTGTCTCTTTCCCTCTGCTTGTTTACCGGCTTTATTCTCCCCCTCTTCCTTAGCTTCCGCTTCTGTCAAGTCTACACAAACAAGAAACCAGGAAAAAGGAAAGAGTTGCACGAATTCATCAAAACAAAAACAATCCCCTTATTCAGTGATGTGGGCATTTTGCATTTGGGCATCTCTGCTTCTGGTAAGCATCACATATTGGGTTTACAGATGGAGGAACCCCAAATGCAGAGGAGATCTCCCGCCTGGTTCTATGGGGTTTCCACTTCTTGGGGAGACCATCCAGTTCTTCAAGCCTAATACCACCTCAGATATCCCGTCCTTCATCAAAGAGAGAACAAAGAAGTAAGTTTTTATTCTCTGCAAAGCCGTGATCATTTGCGGGTCTATGTGTATCCTGGTTAAGTGTTTTGCTTTGTCATGTGCAGATACGGGACAATATTCAAGACTAGTCTGGTGGGACGGCCAGTTATCGTGTCAACAGAACCCGAGCTTAGTTATTTTGTATTCCAGCAAGAGGGCCGTTGTTTTCAGAGCTGGTACCCTGATACCTTTACCGAGATATTTGGAAGGCAGAATGTGGGTTCGTTGCACGGCTTCATGTACAAGTACCTCAAAAACATGGTCTTGACTCTCTTTGGCCATGAAGGTCTCAAGAAGATGCTTCCTGAAATCGAACAAATTGCATGTAGAAAGTTAGAGCAATGGTCGACTCAGGACTCGGTAGAATTGAAAGATGCAACTGCAAGTGTAAGCTTAGAAACAAATTCTCTCTCTTTTCAGGTACAACTTTCAAAATTGATTCCTAGTTGCTAATAAGGATTCCTTCTTTACCAGATGATATTTGACCTCACTGCAAAAAAGCTGATAAGCCATGATCCAGAGAAGTCCTCAGAGAATCTAAGGGAAAACTTTGTTGCATTCATACGGGGTCTGATCTCCTTCCCTTTTGACATTCCTGGCACTGCTTATCACAATTGTCTAAAGGTAAATCATCATTTACAATACCAAAGTCTATCCTTCAAGCCATACCATTCTCTGTTATTCCCAGTTCAAAGGTAAGACTAAGCAACAATCCATTCTGCTTGACTTGGTATGTGAAATTGTAAACTAATGATAAAGATTGGGCAACGAGGATGCAGGTTATACCATTCCAGCTGGCTGGAGAAAGGGCAATGAAAATACTGAAGAATATGCTTCAGGAGAGACGGGAGAACCCACGAGAAAGCCCGAGTGACTTTTTCGATTATGTCATTGAAGAACTGCAGAAAGAGGGGACAATATTGACAGAAGCAATTGCTCTAGATTTGATGTTCGTCCTGCTTTTTGCCAGCTTTGAAACAACTTCACTGGCTTTAACTTTAGCCATCAAATTTCTCTCGGATTATCCTTCAGTTCTGAAACGTTTAACGGTCAGTAAAACCCCATTATTCTGTCAATTCTGTAAGACAAACAGATAAACTATGGGTTTCCCCAATATTCCAAACAAAAAACTTAAAATTTTTCCTGTTCTGCAGGAGGAGCATGAGGCTATTCTGAGAAACCGGGACCATGCAGACTCTGGACTTACTTGGAAAGAATACAGATCAATGACTTATACTTTCCAGGTACCTTAAGAAAATCAAATCAATATCAAGACTATCCTAAGGATGGTACACATGATTCAGCTATAACTCAGTTTTAAATTCTAAAATGCAGTTCATAAACGAAACAGCTAGATTGGCGAATATAGTTCCTGCTATTTTCAGAAAAGCATTAAGGGATATCCAATTTAAAGGTATGAATAAACAAGATTCCACAATCTATATAGTTTGATTTAGTGTTTTCCAATTTTATATTGATCATAAGACTTGGCAATGATGAATGCAGGCTATACCATTCCAGCCGGCTGGGCAGTGATGGTCTGTCCTCCAGCTGTACATTTGAATCCAGACAGATATGAAGATCCTCTTGTCTTCAACCCTTCTAGATGGGAGGTGAGTCAAACTTCTCAGAACCTTTTACACCAAGTAACCTGAAACATATCAGCATACTCCATATAAAACTTTGTCAAGTTTTCTAATTCTTAAACTAAGGATAAAAAATGGAATCATGCAGGGCACGGAATCGAATAGCGCATCAAAGCATTTCATGGCATTTGGTGGTGGCATGAGGTTCTGCGTCGGGACTGACTTCACCAAAGTGCAGATGGCTGCATTTCTTCACTGCCTCGTCACTAAGTACAGGTTTGAAAACAATCCCCTCTCTAAGTTACCCCCTTCATGAGCTCAAACAGAGAAGCTGACTGATTTTGACCATTGAATTCCACAGGTGGCAGGAAATCTCAGGAGGAAACATCCTTCGAACTCCCGGGTTACAATTTCCAAACGGGTATCATGTCCGACTCGCAAAGAGGGATGCTACAGAAAGTTATAAATAAGCAAGGCAAGTCACTGAAAGTTACAAAGCGGAGGACAGACCAATTCAGGGCTATGCATTTCGAAAACCACTGTCCTTCCAAAGTCCTAACCAGATGGGCAGCCATTTTCAGGCATATGCTTGTACAAGGAAATGGTAGTGCGTAGGGGATCTAGGGGAAAAGCACGGGATCGGATGCTATATAACCCGTGCCCTCAAGTGAATACTGAACTACAATTTTGATGTCTCACAATGTAATGGTGTAATATTTTCAGAGGAGTGTGAAAGAAAAAGAGAATGTAGCTTAACACTCCCAAATGGAGCAGCAAGTTTCTGTGATCAGATGCAAATTCCAACACAAATTTACCTTAAGGGCTTTGATTATCCAATGTTCCTTGGAAGGTAGTAGCCAGATTCAGTGGAAGACGCAACAGAAACATAACACGACCTCACAGATTCTTGGTTGAATCATCGACTCTTCCATTGTTCTAATTCTACGACAGAAGAAATATCAGGATCTCATTCAAAAAATTTAGAGAGAGAACGACAAGAAGAAATCCACACCGACGCTGATCAAATGGTGCTACCGAATTCAAAAAGCCAAAGACAAGATGAGAGAACGCATCATAAATCAACGGCGCAGTTGTACGGAAATCGGAGGTTGACACGAAGCGACGACGGGGATACGGCGGAGCCTCGGCGCATATCGCCGAAGTGTCCGGCGTTTCCATTTCTCTCTCGCCAAGGCCAAATTCTGCTGACGTGTCATCTGGCCCATCGCCCGCGACAAATGATGACGTCATATAATCCCCAAGAAACAGCGTAGTTACCCATCGATCCTGTAATTTTGAGATTTCAAATCTGAAAATTTTCTCCTTTTTGTCAGGACTAAATTTTAGGAAAATATGTAAATTTACGAATTTAATAAAAAAGTTTAAGGAAAACATAAATGTTTAAATTAGAACGTAAAGTTGTCTATAACTTCTATATAAAATATGAAATTTCTATAACTCCTAAATTTTATCATATGAAGATGATTAAAATTTCGAAAGTTTATATTTTATGTGGATTTTGATAGCTATATTTTATATGTAAACAAACATGATAAGGAGCATATATCACTGGACCTTTATTTATATTCATTACAAAAAAAGGGAATGTGTGAAAGGTAATAAAAACTTATAACAAATAATAGAAACTAATAAAAGCAAAAAAAATCTTAAATCCAACAATTTTTAATTAAAATTCAACTATTATATTAAGTTAGAAAAGAAATATAGAATATTTTAATAAGGTGTAAAAAACGAAACAAGAAACAATTAATAAGATAAGCAAAATATACAATCAATTATGTGTACAACAAAATGAAAATAAACAAATTAAGAAATACTAATCATTCAGGAAAAAAAAAGATTTAAAAAATCATGATAAATATCAAGATCAAAATAAATTATTACAATTTTGAAAGAAACGTAGAAAACAAATAACCAATTACCATCAGTAATCAAATAAAGAAGAAAATACAAAAAATAAAATTTAGAAACATAAACAAACACATAAAATAATAAACTTATATTGAAATATATAGAAGTTTCTGCATGTGTTTATATATATATGTGATGATATTTAAGCCTAAAGTTAATTTAGTTATATAAGTATGACTTTTATATTATTTGGGATTATGCGGCTTTGTTTGTATGGTTCAAACATTTTGATGATAAAGGCAACCCATCAAATTCCTGTCAAACTTGAAGGCTTTTGTTGAATTTGATAAAAAAGATTATTTACAACACATAAAACGTTTTATTATCACACAAAACAAATGTATTATTTTACATTTGATATGTGTATATACTAGAAAACTAGAAACAACACTTTATTATTTTGTGTATCTCTAACCATAAACACCATGTTGAAGTTTGCTGTAAGAGTTCAAGCAATGGCACAAACATTATTCTTCCTGTTTTGATTACTCTTAGCACTAAGCCTAGTCTATATGCAACTGAATGCAGGACGGAAAATGGTTTAGGTCAAATATGTATTAAAATTTACATCTCCCAAGGCACGGAGACAGCTTGTGTACCGCAAATTTGCTACCCGCGGCTCGAACATGAGACCTAAACAGAGGACACCTTTCCCTTCTCAACCAACTTCACCACTCAACTACGCCCTCTTAGTTATCTTAGGTACCTTAGTTATAGTTGCATGGTTTGCTGCATGAATATCTGTCTGGCTCGATGGAATAGCCTCTTGCCTCCCTGCCTGCCTGCCTATTTAAGGACTCGTCATATGGTTCACGAGATACACCAACACTTGCTTCTTTCCTCTTCCTTACTTTTTCCATCTTTTGTTAAGTACATAAACAAAACCATCCTCTTAAAATGATGTGGGCATTGAGCATTTTGGCTTCTTTGCTTTTCATAGGCATCACAAGATGGGTTTACAGGTGGAGGAACCCTAAGTGTAATGGAATTCTGCCTCCTGGTTCCATGGCCTTTCCGCTTGTTGGGGAGACGCTTCAGTTCCTCAAGCCAAATATCACTTCAGACATCCCATCCTTCATCAAAGAGAGAACAAGAAAGTGAGAAATTTACTCTTCTTTGCATAGCCTTGATACATGGTTCACCCTTTTCGCTTTGATAAACGCAGATACGGACCGGTATTCAAGACTAGTCTCTTCGGGCAACCAGTCATCATGTCCACAGATGCTGAGCTCAATTACTTTGTGTTCCAACAAGAGGGGCAATTATTCCAGAGCTCTTACCCTGTTACTTTCACAAAGATCTTCGGAAGGCAGTTGCATTCATTGCACGGCTTCATGTACAAGTACCTCAAAAACATGGTCCTGACCCTCGTTGGCCATGAAGGTCTCAAGAAGATGCTTCCTGAAATCGAACAAGTTGCACGTAGAAAGTTAGAGATTTGGTCTACTCAGGATTCAGTAGAGCTGAAAGATGCAACCGCAAGCGTAAGTTCGGGAACGAAACTTCTTATTTTTTTTTCAGATGGAATATTCTGAATGATTCCTATGCTGCTAACATGGATCCCTTCTTTATCAGATGATATTTGACTTCACCGCTAAAAAGCTGATAAGCTATGATCCGGAGAAGTCCTCAGAGAATCTAAGGGAAAACTTCGATGCATTCATTCGGGGGTTGATTTCTTTACCTTTGGACATTCCGGGCACAGCTTATCACAAATGTCTAAAGGTAAATCAACATTTACAATACCCAAAGTCTATCCTTCATGCCTTACCATTCTCTCATATGGTATTGATGCTTAAATTTGCTTTCCAGGGCAGGGATATGGCAATGAAAATGCTGAAGAATATGCTTAAGGAGAGACGGGAAAACCCACGGAACAACCCAAGTGACTTTTTCGATTATGTCATGGAAGAACTACAGAAAGAGGGGACGGCAATGACAGAAGAAATTGCAATAGCTTTGATATTCCTCCTGCTTTTTGCCAGCTTCGAAACAACTTCACTGGCTTTAACTTTAGCCGTCAAATTTCTCTCAGATCACCCTTCAGTTCTGAAACGTTTAACGGTCAGAAAAACCCATTGCTCTGTCACTCCTACAATACAAATTGACAAATTTAGTTTTTTTTTAACTATTCTGAGAAACAAAAACTTAGAAACAAAACATTTTCTCCTCTATGCAGGAGGAGCATGAGGCAATTCTGAGAAACAGGGAAGCTTCGCACTCTGGACTAACCTGGGAAGAATACAGATCGATGACTTATACTTTTCAGGTAGCTCGAGAAATCCAATAAATGTCATGAATCAGCGAGATAGATGGCTTATGCGCATGATCACAAAATTCTGCAAACCAAATGTTAACTTCTAAATGCAGTTCATAAACGAAACAACTAGATTGGGGAATATACTTCCTGCAGTTTTCAGAAAAGTTTTGAAAGATACCCAGTTCAAAGGTAAGACTAAGCAACAATCCATTCTGCTTGACTTGGTATGTGAAATTGTAAACTAATGATAAAGATTGGGCAACGAGGATGCAGGTTATACCATTCCAGCTGGCTGGAAACTGTTTGTCTGTCCTGCTGCCGTACATTTGAATCCGAACATATATGATGATCCGCTTGCCTTCAACCCTTCTAGATGGGAGGTGGGAAAATCTTCTTAAAACCTTTCACGCCAAGTAACCTGAAACATATCAGCAAACTCCAAATAAAATTTCTGAAGTTTCCTATTCTTAAAATACGGACTAAAATGGAGTCATAGTCGTACAGGGATCGGGAACCAGTAACGTGTCAAAGTATTTCTTGCCATTTGGTGGTGGTATGAGGCTCTGTGTAGGGGCAGATTTCACCAAATTGGAGATGGCCGTATTCCTTCACTGCCTGGTCACAAAGTACAGGTTTGAATACAATCCCCTCACTAAGTTGCCCCCTTTCATGGAGGGAAGCTGATCCGATATTGACCTTTTGAACATCACAGGTGGCATGAGATCGGAGGAGGAGATACAATTCGGAGCCCTGTATTACAATTTCCAAATGGTTATCACGTTCGACTACGTAAAATTTGTAAATAAACAAGCCGGAGGGATAACCAGGCAAGTTCCGGAGACTGACCAATTCAGGCCTATCATTCAAGGAGCACAAGCATGGCATGTAAAAGAAGCTCACCCACTATTCTCAAAAGTAAAAGTGAAATTCTAAAATAAGATGTAAACCCAAGTTTCTTCTTCCTCCAGCACAAAACTTATCATCAAGGGCTTTGATAATCCCTTGTTCTAGTATCGTTGACACTGCATTTTCTGCAGTCCTGTGATCGATGTTCAGAATGAATATTACATATGACCCTATTCCATTTTATATGATTCATATGCCATCCCGAAGACAATAGCAGAAACCTCCTCCATTGTTCTAATTCTCCAACAAACTGCAGAATCTCACTCGACCAGGTCTACCCCATGACAAAAATCCAAAGGAACGGCTTACTACAGAAGAATCAGGATCTCATTCAAAAAATTTAGAGAGGGAAAGACAAGAAGAAATCCACAACGACATTGATCAAATGGAGCTACCGAACTAAAAAAAGACAAAGACAAGATGAGACACCGCATCGCGGATCAACGGCGAAGAAGAATCCTCGCTGCCGTTGCACGGACATCGGAGGTTGACAGAGGAAGCGACGACGGCGATACGGCGGAGTCTCGGCGCATCGCCGAAGTATCCAGCACCCTCTCGTCAAGGTTAAATTCTGCTGACGTGTCGTCTTATCCATCATACACTCGGCCCAATCAGGCCTACCAGGCCCAAGATATTGTGGGCTTACTACCTATCGAACCCACGGTGACTTTGAGATTTCAATGTTAATTTTCTCACTTTTAATCCAAACTTTCCGCTAAATTTTATATGACATTTTTTGTTATAAAAGATTGATAGAAGAATTTTTTTTTTAGCACAAAAGATTCACAAACACGTGACTATTCAGGCAACAAGAGAGAGAAAAAAAAAAGATGGAGAAAATATAAAAAAAATAGGAAAAAGGGGAGATTTTTTTTTGTCTTCATATAAAAAAACTACACCATAAATGAAGACGAAACATACAAATGCATAATGGTAGGCCAAAACGTACGAAATGTTGATATTCGAAAAAACAATCTCTAAATTTGAAACTTGTTTTTGAATCATTTTTATCTTTTCTTTGCCAATAATATATTCAATCTGCTAATTTTTCGTTCATCTATCTTTTATATGTTTAGAAAAGATACATTTAACATTTTTTTTTATTTGATCATTTAGACAAGCTCATGACTGGGAAAGAATGTTGCCATTGGTGATTAAATTTGACCAAATTACAATATTATTATATTGTTTTGGAATTTTTCTCTTTATTTAAGCAGACTAAATAATTGACAAGTCCAACGCAGTTAATAAGCATTAATGAGTTATGTAAGCAAATAAATGAGATATATATATTCACAAAAACGTGATTGTTCAAAATTAAGGAAAAAAGTTATAACAAAATAAGAGAAATAAAAACAAAAAGAATATGGAGAAATATAGAAAACATTTAGAAGTGTATATATAAAGAGAGAGAAATAAACTATTAACATTTCGAAAGAAACGTAGAATTTTTTTTTAAAAAAATCAATTACTATATCATTAATCAAATATAGAAATACAGAAAACAATTAGAAGTGTGTGTATATATACACACGCCATTTTTACATTATTTGGGATTATGCGGTTCTGCATGATTCGAACTTAAAAGTCTTTAATTGAATTTTTGTACAAAGATCATTTATTATGCATAAATTACTTTCTTGACTTTTTCAAACATAATTACATGCCTATCCAATTCACCTTTTTCTTGAAACAGTATAGATTTATAAAAAAAAAATAGTTATATTATATATAGACTAAAGGTATATTTCAAGACTTGCCGAATAATTTTTTTTGTATATTCAATGAACCAAATAATATATATATATATATATATATATATATATATTATATTAAACTTAATCCTAATAAAAAACTAAATAAACTAATCCTATTAGAAAAACAAATATTAATCCTAGCAAAAATATAATTCCACAATAGATATGTATTGGATAGAATATATATATATATATATATATATGTGTGTGTGTGTATATATATATTAAGAAAGTTAGTATTTGTTAGTATTTGTAGGGGTAGTCAAAGTATCCAAAAATATCGAACCAATTCATTATCCAATCGTATTTGAATCGAAAGTTAAGTTATCCAGAATTTAAAAATTGTATACAAATATTTGTTTTAAAATATTTTTCGGATATGATTTGAATACCGATATGATTTAAAATCGAATTAAATATAGGAATAATAAGGTAATTAACTTATATTTATGGGTAATTTTGAAAAAAAAATATTCTAAATTTCTCTATAGGATTTTAGAATGTTTAATCTTTTATATGTGATGTATTGTCATTGTGTTCGTATTTTTTAGTTGATTTCGTATGAAATTTGAATTTTGAATATCGTTTGCATTTGATGAATTGTATATTTTATTTGTATTTGAATTTATTTTGTAATTTTATTTATCATTTTTTATATATTATAAATTAAATATAGATATTCATAAATATCTACGATTTTATTGATATTTGAAATTACAGATACACAAATTAACAAAATTAAATATTTGTTTATATCGAATATGTATAAAGATATCTAAAATATCGTGGATGATTAGCACCCACACCTAACTATTGGAACGATATTTAGTTTCTCTTCATTTAGTTCAAGTAAATTATTAAAAAAATTTAAAAAAAACGGGGAAAACAAATAATCATTACCATTAATATTTAAATAACAAAGAAAATACACAAAGCAATTGGAAGCCCATACAAAATTATACGATGAAAAGTTTATATATATACAAAGAAGAAACATAGAAATTCCTACTTAGATAAAAATAAAAGTATAGATGTAATCGTTTGTATATAGAGGATGATATTCGAGATTGGTGAAGATGGCATTACATCTTCGGTAAGGTTTTTGTTAAAAACGACAAAAACATCAATTCATTATACATAAAATGTTTTGACCGCTTAAAACAAAATGGTGTAATTGCATGCGTCGTACAAATCATATTTTTAGTAGAAATTCATAGTATAACTAAAAAATAGTTTATATTAGGAAAAATCGTCAAAAAAATATGTAATCTTTAGATATCGATTAAAAAAATTATGTACTTTTTTTATTATAAAAAAATCTTATACTTATATTTATTCGTCGAAATATACATATACTCTTTAGATGTCAGATAAAAAAATTCTTTACTTTTTTTATAACCAAACAAATCCTATATTTATACTTATTCACCGAAATATATCTTTACTTTATAAATTCTAGAAAATAAACCCCTAAACACAAACATAAAAAAAAACGCGGTCAAAAATCTGTCAGAACCTAACTCAACAGATATATACCCGAACCGAATTAAACCGATTAAAATAATATACCAGATTGGATATAAATATTTCAAATCCGAAATAACCGAACCTAAAATAACTGTAAAACGAATAAACCGAACTCGAATTAACCATAACCGAGTATAATCGTTTACCTACCTACATATCATCAATTAATATCTAATATATTCTAAATTTAATTAGAAAAATTAAATATAATGATATTGCATACATTCGAATTTTAAATATTCATACCCAATCTGGAATATTATTTTAATCGGTTCGATTTGGTTCGGGTATATATCGATCGGGTTCGGTTCGATTATTTCGGGTTCGATTTCGGATTTGAAATATTCATATCCAATATGGTATGTTATTTTAATCGGTTTGGGTATATATCAGTTGGGTTAGATTCGTACAGATTTTTTATCGTATTTTTTTGGCATTTACATTTAGGGGTTTATTTACTAGAATTTATGAAATACAGATATATTTCGGCTAATAAATATAAGTATAGAATTTGTTTGGTTATAAAAAAAAGTATAGGGTTTTTTGTTTTCTATTTGAAGAGTACATATATATTTCGACGAATAAGTATAAGTATAGGGTTTTTTATAATAAAAAAAATATAAGATGTTTTTGTCGACATCTGAAGAATATATGGTTTTTTTTTTGCGATTTTTCCTTTATATTATTATACCGTATTTACATGGTAAATATATCCGAAAACTGGAAAACAATAGTTTAGTTGAGTTGTTACTGTATTGGATATCCGTATATGATGTATGATGAATATTAAGATGGTTGGTGAGTTATCTAAATATTAGCGAAGTTACATCATTCTATTTACTTATATCAAAATAAATTACTAAAATTTGAAAGAAACATAGAAAACAGATAATCAACTACCATTAGTCATAAAATAAAGAAGAAAATATAGAGAACAATTACAAGTGTGTATATATATATATGGAGGATGATATTTAAGCGAAAATTAATTAATTTATGTAAGTAGGATTTTTAGATTATTTGGGATTGTGTGGTTTTCTTTCTATGATTCAAAGACTTTGTGATCGATTTAATGTGGGATTTTTAGGCGTTTAATGTGATCGATTTGACTCCACAATCACATGTATATACATATAGTTAGTTCATCAAACAAAACAATCCTCTTACAATGATGTGGGCATTGAGCATTTTGGCTTCTTTGCTTCTCATAGGCATCACAAGATGGATTTACAGATGGAGGAACCCTAAGTGCAATGGAATTCTGCCTCCCGGTTCCATGGCCTTACCCCTTCTTGGGGAGACACTTCAGTTCCTCAAGTCAAATATCACTTCAGACATCCCGCACTTTGTCAAAGAGAGAGCAAGAAAGTGAGAATTTTACTCCTCTTTGCCATAGCCTTGATCCTTTGTATCATGGTTCACACCCTTTTCGTGTTGATACATGCAGATATGGACCCATATTCAAGACTAGCCTGTTTGGGCAATCAGTCATCGTATCCACAGATGCTGAGCTCAATCACTTTGTGTTCCAACAAGAGGGTCAATTATTCCAGAGCTCTTACCCTGACACCTTCAACGAGATCCTTGGAAGGCAGAATATTGGTTCACTGCACGGGTACATGCACAAGTACATCAAAAACATGATCCTGACCTTTGTTGGCCACGAAGCTCTAAAGAAGATGCTTCCTGAAATAGAACAAGTAACATGTAAAAAGTTGGAACTTTGGTCGACTCAGGCTTCAGTAGAGCTGAAAGATGCAACCGCAGGCGTAAGTTCGGAAACATTTTTTTTCCTTCAGGTAGAATACTCTAAAAGATTCCTAGTTGCTAAAATGGATCCCTTCTTTATCAGATGATATTTGACTTCACCGCTAAAAAGCTGATAAGCCATGATTCAGAGAAGTCCTCAGAGAATATAAGGGAATACTTCGATGCGTTCATCCGGGGGTTGATCTCTTTACCTCTGAACATTCCGGGGACAGCTTATCACAACTGTCTGAAGGTGAATCATCATTTGCAATACCAAAGTCTATCCTTGAAGCCACACCGTTCTCTGATATGGTATTGATGCTTAGATTTGTTTTCCAGGGTAGGGAAA